AAAACCTGTGTGTGTGTGTGTGTGTGTGTGTGTGTGAGTGAGAGCTGGGGTGGGGGGCTGAAAATGATTTAGCGTTGATTTACTCATGTACCGCTTTGTGTTGTTGTTGTTGTTTGCATTTCTCTTCTTGTTCTTGTTCTTATTTATTTATTCATTTTTTAACTTGTAATCTGTTTTTGATTTTATTTGTTGTTGATTGCTGGCTTTTTTCTCGTTTTATTGATGATATTGGGTTCTGTTGTTGTTGTTGATGATGTTTTTGGCTCACTCTAAGGTTTTTGTTTGTTTGGTTTTTTGCTTTGGGGTCCTTTTTTACTCGTTGCTGAGGTATTTTTGGGGGAGGGGAGTGGGGGTGGGGTTTTTTGGCGGAGAGTGGGTTCGTTTTTAATTCCTTATTTTGGCCGTGGTTTTTTTGGTGTTTTTTTTGCATGTAGCGTTTTCGGTATTAACGATCGGAAGAAAGAGGGTTGGGGGAGGGAGAGGGCAAAGTGCCTGTGCCATCCAAGCAATTTGACATATTGGCAAAAAAATGAAATTGCTGTCATTCAATGCATAACGCTGCATAGGAGGGAAACGTTATTATCACCATCTATCTTTCACAAAGGCTGCATAGAGACACGGGAGGAAGGCAAGAGAAGGATGGACGTTGGACAACAAACAACATACATAGCTCACGCTGGACAGGACGTGGGTCAGTGAAGGGAAAAGAAATCTGTAGGGAGAAATAGATAGGAAAACAATCACTGAGTTTATCACTGAATAAAGAAGGAAAGAAAGGAAGGTAGAAAGAAACAACCCATGAATATTCAGACAGACAGACGGACAGGCAGACAAACGGACGGAAGGAAGATATAGGTAGATAGGTAGGTAGATAAGTAGGTTGATTGGTCGATAGATACATAGATCGATAGATACATAGATCAATAGATACATAAATGCATAAATGCATAGATATATTCATAAATTCATAAATACATAAAACATAAATACATAGATATGTGCATAAAAGTAACAAAAGAAAAGAATGAAATGAGTAAGAATGAGAAAAGGGAAGAAAAAAGAAATGCAAAAATGGTTTGTTGACAGCAGTGGCTTGATAAAGAAATAGAAAAATTATCATAGTAAGACAATCATATTATATCGACAGCGATGCTAAATGTTTTCCCAATGTGTTATAATGTAAATAAACTGGATCAAATTCGCTTTCAAAGTTAATATAAAATATTAAATGGGAACGTTGTTCATTCCCCAAATATTGACTCATAACAGAACATTTTTCATAACACAGAGTAACCGCAAAAAATGTCTCTCTATAATTATTTCCTTAATAATTTCTTGATTTATTAACCGATCCCGCTGAAAACAAATAGATGTCAAAAACAACATTGCGGACACGAATTGTGCAAATTTCACAACAACATTTTGTTTTTATAACACTAACTTTGAATTCAAAACAAATGAGCCCCCAATCGTTTTCTAGGATACGCCAAACATCGAGAAGTGAAATGAACATCTGATTCAGTCATTTAAAGGACATAATTGATGCCCATACTGAAAGGTCTCTTAAACAGCTGACTCGTCAAAGAGGGGACCCCGTGCGTGAGTCTGTTCGAAGGGTAAATTTTTTTGCGGATCTCAGTCTGCATCCTTATCGTAAAGCTGTAAAACAAAAACTGAACCATATTATAGACATTGCGTCACATGTCGACACATTACTACCCTGGAATTACAAAGTTCTATCTGCCCAGTACCTAGTTTTGAGACATCTGACATTAAAAATTTTGAGTTTAATAACATGTCAAGCTTTTTCGAATGCAGTTCTTTGAATATCTTGACAACAACTCTGAATGGTCTTCTGATTTTGATAGAGCAGACGGAACATTTGGTTTCTGACCTAAGTAATTCAAAACGGCCAAAAATGTCAGATAGAACTTTGTTATTCTAAGTTTGCGACGTGCCAAAGGTTTGTTCAGCAGTTTAAAAGAAACCCGAATTGGATGAACGAAATATCGTTCTCGGATGAGTCACATTTTCATTTAGAAGGGCAAACCAGTTCTAAAAAGTCTGTATTCCGTGCCAAACAGCCACTTGATCTTGTCCATGAACGCCCACTTCATGCGGAGAAGTGAACAGTCAGTGTGGAACTCAGCTGCCACATTATTGGTCCACTCTGTTTTGAGCAGAATGGCAAGACCACTAGTGTGAAAAGTGAAAGACTGAAAGGCACATTTTCAGTTTGGTAGGAATTAATTTTGAATTTTGCCCGGGTGACGGCCGAAGTCCGCTTTTATCGATTTTGGACCGCTTGCACATCGGGCCTCCACAATTGTTTGCCCTTATCCGAGAAGGCTAGATGTAAGACTTTACCTACCCTAATATCAGGGGTGTTGCTGAAAGACAGTAAGAAGAAGCCAAGGAGTAGCAGTAGAAAGGCTGCAAAAAGAGTCAGGAGCCCTGAGGAGGGGGGAAAGGAGGTGGGGGGGGGGGGCAGAAAGTGAAAACGAAAGCTGACAACAGAGAGCATGAAAAGAGGTGAAGGGAGAAAATTTTGGAGAGGAAAATTTCTCACTGCTTTCCGGATTCGAACCCGGGACCTATTTATTGAGAGGCCAACACCGTAACCTGTAGAACATGAGAGCCCCCTCTGGGAAAGTCGAAGGATAGGAAAGCTATACGAAGTAGCATAGTTTTAGCAGGATGGAACCATACCCCGTATAGTCATACAGTAATACAGCCAACGTTATCCACAATAACAACTATCGTCCTTATCTCTCCTCCTTTTTTGTGTATGTTACTCTCTTGTAACACATTTATTTTTTGACTCTTATATGACCTTATTGTGTTGCAAGTGCCGTAAAACTCTTACTAAAACTAAAAAGACCTTTGCAAGTCAAATGTGCTGCATGGTCAGCTTTAAAAAGTGAGTGCATGAATGTTTACGGGAAGAGAGGAAAAAACTTGTTGAGCTGGTCATTTAAATTTAATCACTTTGATTGGAATCAATACTTAATTAAACTTTACTATTAAATGTCAGTTTGAAAACTTTGACTGTGAGTAAGTAATGCAAAAGTGACAAGGGATTTTATAGAACATGGGTTACAATTGTCTGCATCAATGTCTACGTTTTCATGATTTTCCAAACAGCTAATGTTGGCTGCTTTAAAAAAAAGTTACAGTTTCAAATTGTCTTATTTTTGTTCGAAACTTTGTCACACTTTGTCCACATAATTAGATTTTCAGATTTCAAAGTTCTGATTTGAATACATAAAGGTTTAAATCATTTAAATATTTGAATTTTAGTGACGGACATTTTTTTCGTCACCCTGCATAAGGATATACGTCACATTTACATCTTAAGAAAACGTTAAACGACAGAATTCTTACGTCCATTCTGCTTTTTTAAATGATGTCATACAAATTATTAGATTGTATTATATCATACGTTATCACTGTCTATTGTGTCAACTTAATGTCTTATTGTCATGAAATACATTTATCAGTTTATATAATGGGTGGGTGGGTGGGTGGA